TATTGTCCAGAGGAAACAGTCGCTGGAGAAGGATGTCATGCTGGGTAAGGTGGATGGTCAGAGCAAAAGGGGAAGACCCTCAATGAGATGGCGGTTGTGTGGTCGCTGTTAAAAACGAATCTCCTTGCGCTACAGCCCTTAAGTCTGGCTCAAAGGTGGGATTTTTGTTCTCGGATGTCGCTTCAGTCAAGAGGCGGAAGTGCAACAGGGGCGACAGGTTGTAATGAGACGTTTTGGGCTGTGCTTGTGGGTCTCTAAATTGGTCGACCCCGCCTCAAAGCCAGGATCCAAAGCTAGGCTGGGACAGTGCCCTCGCATCCGAGGTAAGTAGGACAGCCTGGCTGGCCGCTGCAGTCTCTTCCCGCTAGGCAGTGTCCCCTGTCGACCTGGTCTCCAGACACCTCTCACCCCACCACTCCGTGGTCTGGGTTTCATTTAATATCTCCACCAGGTCTGCGCAGTTCTCACACATCATTCAGCTGCTGCTGCTCCTCCCCCCTTCCCCCAATTAGCATGACCATTGTTCAAATATATGGTATTGTAGTGGTTAAGAATCAGGCTGCTAATCTCACAGTCTGCAGTTTGAAACTATCAGCTGCTCTGCAGGAGAAAGATGTGGCTTTCTGCTCCCGTAAAGATTTACAGCCTCAGAAACCCTGTACAGGATCGTTATGAGTCGGCACTGACTCCAGGGCACATAACCACCACCACCATATATATAGTTAAGTGGAGTCCTGGTGTGGCACTGCGGGTTAATAGGCTGGACTACAAAGTCGGTTTGAACTGAAAGGTCAGCTTTTCAAGCACACTGACCACTGTAATTTGGAGTGAAACTAAATGGGTCCATTTCCCTTGGAGAGAGATAAAGGGCAACTACAGTGCTTCCCCATGGTTCATTTTACTTAGGCTTCTTGAGTAATAACTCAAGTTCAGGAAGTCAAATACTATTACAATTTTGTAATAGTAATTTTATCTTTATTTTGCAATTGAGAAATCCAGGTGTTGGGGAAGAAGAATGACTTGTCAGAAGATAACACAGTAGCCAGGATTCCTAATCCACCTTCAGGTTCAAACCCTGCTCCATGTGGGGTTCCATCTGGCTTTGAAATAGTTATAGACATTTTATTTATGTGAATCTTTTGGATTCATGCTACACATGGGGATCTAGGTTTTTAATGCCTTACGTACAGATTTTGTGTGTGTGCGCATGTTATTTTAGAATCATGTAGATATTATTTAGTGCCTAATCCCAGTTTATTGTGGCTAAAGGAGGAACAGATTTCTGGAAGGGAAACCACTGGATGAAAGAAAGGTTGTTAGAAGAAATTTTCACTGATGAGACTCCCTGTTCAAACCTGTCAGAACCCTTTTACTGTTATTATGATACCTGAAGGGTTAGCTTGGAATGTTGAAAACAGATCAATGAGTGAGAAATAGGGCCGTGCAACTCCTGTGACACTGAAGTGATGTCAGGGTCTGACCTCGACATAGTTGTGTTGTTCACGAGTGTTTGGTTCACGAGGAGGGGAGATCCAGCGGCGATAGAGATAGCGAAAGAATACACAGACAGACAGAAAGAGGGGGACAATGAGGCACCCCAAAGCCAGGGTGGATACATCACTGGTGGGCAGGCTTGGGACTGCAGGCATCGTG